TCCGTAATTTTCTGAGCAGAAACGAGTCCCACCCACAACAAACACAGTCAAGGACTGGTCACCACCAGCCCAGAGCTCACAGCTTGGCTTGTCGGTGTCAGTAACTATTAAATTCACAGATCTTGACGGCCATGAAACCCCCAGTATGTGCCAGACCTTGCTGAGGGACAGGGACTCTGTGGAGGATGCTCACAGCGTAGATCTCCTTGGGCTGGCACCTTAACACAGGCACTGCAAGCTTAAAATGCCATGGGAGAAAGGAAACAGTGTTCTGAGCTTTGGTCCCATCAGCCAGGATTCAGCTTCTGATAAAAGGGGGACGGGGGTGGTGCAGAAGGAGGGCACCAGGAATGGGTGGAACAGGGAGAAGGTCTGGGCTCTGCACCCATCAGTGGGTTTCAGAAAAATGTTCTATCCAGGGCCTCAGCAAGTGGAGAGAGGCAGCCTCCACAGAAAGCTGCCATAGGATTGAAGGTTCAGTGGGAGGCTCAAATCAGTTTCAGCTGACAAATAGGCAGGGGAGACTTTTTTACACATCACATAATTGTTTTTTACTTTTGAAATGTCTATTTCTCTTTTTTTTCCCTCTATGAAATCACATGTATTTAAAGAAATTAAAGAAATCCTTCATAGAGTGAATTAAATGTCTCTGCTAAACCCAAATCACTTCACTCAGTACTTTGTCTCAAAAAGAAAAAAAAAAAGAAAAGTTTCAGTTTGACCTGGTTTTTCCTCCCTAATTTTTCAGCTCACACTGTTGGAAATAACAGTCTACATAGGTTACATCATTTGTGAGGAATCTCCTCTCATCTGTCTCCAAATGAATAACAACAAACATTCAAAAAATAATTGAAGTTTTATATATATCCCTTGGCCATTCAGGTGGTATGGCTGGCACGAGACACAGGCACTTTAAACAGCTGTTGTGAATCTTAAGTATAAACTTCCACCCTTTGGCACAGCACCAGGAAATTCTGCATAGGAATATACCTGCTCAGCCTCGCAGCAGACACAACCCACAGTGTTTGATACCTTGAGAGTGGACAGGCCTCAACTCCAAAAGCCAGGGACATAGAAATTGGGTCTTCTTGTCACTGAACTAGGGCAGCACCCCTACCCAGAACTTCATTGTTTTTGACCTGCCTGCTTCCTTCTCCCCTTGTCCCACCTCATGACATTTATTGGAGGATGGATCAGCCATGCTCCAAGAAGCTGTTATAATTTCAACTGCACAGATATCACACATGCTGATGTGTAAGAGCTGCAGCTGAAGAGATCAGTTCCTATCCCAGGTAGGCTACACCTGAGCAGGTGCTAAAACTGCAAACATGCTCCTGGAGGAGGCTGCCCCGCTGCTTCACACCTGCAAAAAGTTCATCCAACCTGTCTGTGTGACCCAGCACCATGGGGGTGATCCTGGGCTAAACACCACAAGGACAGCACAAGGAAACAGAGATTTCCTGTGCCTGTGCTCCCAGGGCATTGCTGCCAAAAGCCAGGTGCTGGCTGAGAGGGGCACATCGGGCTCTGGTGGGGCACTCCAGGTCAGAGCCTGCCACGGAAGCTGCATTTGCATCAACAAGGCAGACACGGAACAAAACTGCTCAGCAGGAAAGACCACACCAACTTCTGGGCTCCAGCTGCAGGGATGAACTCAGCCACCCACTGACAGCTCTGTGGGACAGGGCAGGTTGGTAAGGGGCTGGAAGACACCTTGCACAGGGACCAGGACACTCTTTATCCTCTTAGACAGTGGTAAGCCCCAGGCAGGGCACAACACCACCGTGGTGAAGGGTTTTCCCTGCCTGGACCAGACACTGAGCCTATCTGAGCTGTGACCATTGACCCTTCACCCTCACAGGGACAGCACAGGAGATCCACCACCCAGAAGTTCTCATCAAACAGCTCTGGTTTGTGCAACATGCTCAAAGAACTTCCTTGGACCCACAAAGTTTTCCTCATGGGCTCAGTGGCTGCTGCACGTGACAAAACCAGCCTGGCATTATCAGCCTGCACCTCTCTGATCTCAGCCAACAAAAGTGTGGCAAATCCAGCAGTGTTTCTGAAGCAGTAGCTCCAACAGACTTTTGTTAAAGTACTGGTTAAATTATGCCCACTCAGAGCTCCACACACATTAATGCCATCACAGAGTGTTGCGTCCCTTTCTCTTGAGGAGAATCCCAGTATAGCAATTAAATCCTCATTAACAATCTCCAGCTATAAAGTAAATCAAATGCAAAGCCTTCATGGAAATCTCAACTCATTTCAGGGCAATTGAATATTTTCTGAAAGGACAAAGTGAGGTTAAACACCACAGACCAGCTACTTCTCTGCTGTGGAGGTCAGAGAGGGGCTGCTGACAGCCACCTCTAACCAGCTCCCAGCCCGACCCCTGAGCACAGCCTGGGACAGCAGTACCATGTGTCCCACGCACAGGGCTGTCCCTTACTGGGCACAGGATGGATTTCCCCTATTTCTGTTCACTCCTTGAATATCTCCTACCCAGAGCACCCTTCTGTCCAACGTGAAGGTCCTCTGAAGGGGACCTGGTGTAAATTCTTCTCACCTTTTCCCCTGTGTTTGTTGTTAATAAGGCCTGAAAGCAGATGTTCAAATACTAACAATGTATCATCAACCATCAGCCAGCAAAACTCTCCAGCATCACCTAATCCAAGTGAGCATCGATCTCTTCCCCATGCTGCCTTTCCACAGCCTGAGGAGCCTCTCCCACTGCTGTCCAGGAAATACTCCTGTAAACCGATGACATGAGCTGAGGCCCCAGTTGCATACCAATCGTATGGTCCCTCACTCCCATGTGCCAATGTCCCACTGTGGGACAAGGAGCAGATCCTCCCTGGTTGCTCCCAGACTCAATCTGGAAGAGGAGATCCCTTCTGCCCAGACTTCTCTAGCCTTTACTGCCCCCACCCCTTCAAATTCCTCCAATGGCAAGCAAACCCTGTCATTCTAACAGTGAAACCATCAGGGCCATGGGCCATGGCAGCATTTCAAGGAGAAAAAAGACACCCATAAAACCTTTCTCACTCTGGAAATCATCTGGGTGTCTCCTCATGGAGGTACTAACACAGCAAATCTCCAGCTGCTCACAGTCCTCCACCCTAGCACTCCTCTGAACTTTCCCCAAATCCTTCCCACATGAATCCATCTGAAGACAAAGCTGGCAAAGCCTTCCAGCCCCCACCAACCAATTCCACCACTGGGTCCTGTTCCTGTGCTTGTCTCCAGGTGCCCCAGGAGAGCAGGTCTCACTAATCCCCTGGGACAGGGGGTTTTTGAGTGACCACCCGTGCTTTGCTGGCATGAGGCATCAGCTGTACGGCTGCCCAGCTCCTCCTGGAGCAGCATGGAGCGACCTTGCTTAGCACTGCTCATTTTTCTCTAGGCTTGCAAGGTTTGGAGATTGGTTCAGATAAGCATCCTCAAGCTTGCATGCTTATCTGCACCATCTTCCAAACAGCTTTGATCTGCAGGATTTGGCTGCAGCTCTCAAAGTTATCTTGGGAAAGCTTGTTCTGGGGAGAGTCATTCTCCTGATTAACAAGAAAAAGCTTTCTCAGTGGCTTTGAGCATTTCCAGCCCTGGCTGTAACCAGGGACTGTAGCCATGTCTGCACACAGAGAGAAGGAAAAGCCAAGTGAGCTTCTCCTTAAAACTCCACGTGGGCTCCGTTGCCATTCCAGCTAAAATCTGAGGTCAGGTATTTCATCTTGCTTCTTTTCCCCACTTTCTGTTTGTGGGGTACTTTACATCCCCCATATCCAGTGCAGAATTCCTGGAAGGAAAGCTGGCTGGACTGACCAGGGAAACAAATCCCTGGATGAGCTGGGTGAACCATGCAGGACAAGGGAGAGGGATTTGTCTGGCTGAGGGAGAAGGTTTAAAAGGTACAATTTTGAATTAAACAGCTGAAAGCAAGAACCCCTCTAAAAGCTCTAATGAAGGAAACACAAGCCACACATAAGTATGTGTTAATGCAGCCAGATACTCATTCTCCAGTTTACTTTCTGCTTGGCTTCCACAGCTTTAGGAAATATTCCTTGAATGAAAAGTATCAAATATGCTGCTCTCAAAAAACACCGGTGTGGATTCCCTCACACTCAGCACACCATCACCCCACTGAGACTCTTCCTCGTGGCAACAGCCAGGGAGGAAGAGGAAGATGGTATTAAGGAACAGGAGGAACTACAGAATCAGCAATGAAGTTTATAGTGGGGAAACTGCCCTGGACGTTTCCTGCTGGCCTCGCATAAAGGACAAATATGCATTAAAAAAACACTACTCAGGGAGAGGAAAGAAGTGTGAACAGCAAAAATGTATACATATGTTTTAAATAATTTTTTTAATTGTTGAGGCAGTAATACTTGGTTCATGGAACTGCAATATACAGAGAGGTGAAATAAATAGCTTATATATATATAATATATATAATATAGCTGGTTTTAAAATATTCCCTTATCATTGGTGTACTAGGTCATCTTGTAGTCACTTGAATGTAGTTAGCAGCATTCTCCAGAAGTGAGCAGGATGCAGGATCACGGAGCCGTGACTCCCTATGTCGTCAGGAGGGTTACAGAGGGTTGGTGCGCCGAGAGCTCCACGGGCTCATCCCTGCAGCTCCCGCCGCCTGTCCTGGCCGGCGGGCAGCAGGCAATAAATAGATTACTGCAACCGGCACTTGGCAGGGCAGGGTCTCAGTAACTTTGGGAAAGAACTTTGGTTTTCTTTGGTTTTATTTATTTATTTTTAATTTTTTTTTTTTTTCCCTCTGGGGATATGCTTGAGAAGTTGTCCTTTCCAAAAAAAGCAAAATAAGCACCTGTGTGTCATCAACAACAAGAAGTCAATTTAAATAGAGCAGTTCATTTCATTTTTCAAGTCACAATAAATCCCGAACAGCTTTCCCCAGCATTTGCCATCTAGTCTTTTATTAATTTTTTTTATTTTTATTTTTTTAAACACAATGTACAAAAATAGAGCTTCTTCCTTATTTTTAATGTAAAAATATTCCTCTGGTGCAGTTTTTTTTTTTTCTTTTTGTGGTTTCTTATTGTGACACTGTTTTTGTCTATTTTTAGCTGGGGTTGGTGGGTCGTATTCTCTTAGTCCTCTTGGTGACTGTTGTGTACTTGAAAGGTTTCTGTATCTCCATTTGCCCCTTTGGGTATCTCTTCATAAAGTGTACATCTTGCTGGTTTTCCCGGGTCTTGGGCCCTTTCCGTGGTCTCCCTTTTTTGGTGAATCCAACATACCAGCCTGAATATTTTGCAGACATCAAAGCTGTGTAGTTGTTTTCTAGGACTTTTTCAATGAAGACACACTCCTTACTGGTGCCATCAGGCTGAAAAAAGAAAAAAAAAAAAAAAAAAAAAAAAAAAAAAAAAAAAAAAAAAACCCAAAGCAAGCTCAG